CGAGAATGAGAGCAGCTGTGTGCTTGGAGGTCACCCTTGGATGGAGGACAATAAATCTCTCTTGGTCTCTTAATGTAGTGGTAGCCGTGATACATGATTGTTTGTTCCGGATCCTGTGGTGTAAAACACCACCCAGATGTGGCACCAATTGCACACAAAAAGTGCACAAAAGTGATCAGATGTGCAGCGATTGCATGTATGGACTAATTTAAGAGATTTAGAAAAAGAGTTGTTCTTAAGAAAGGGAATGACTTTGAAGTATAATTTCTTTTGTCTTTTAAAGGAAGATGCTTTAAAAGATTTGGAAGGTTTGGTTAAAAAACTGCCTTGGACCGATCCTTTGAGAATTTGGGAGCTGAACAACAGCTTAAAAAAGAAAAAGACAAAACGCAAAAAGCAGAATCTGCAGAGAACTGCAAGCAAAGAAAAGCTGCGTGACGGCGGAGAGGAGGAGAAGGATGACAAAGCTGTGGGGGGGCAGGAGGACTGCGCCCCAAACATAGCGGGAACAGAGCCGGCTGTTGGCCAGAGTGCGGAGGAGACGCAAGGAGAGGCCTCGCAGAACGAGGAGGAGGATAACGAACAGTCAGGGGCTAAAAACGAGCTGCGTGCCAGTTCTGGGGCTGAGACGAAGGCTGGAGATGATAGGAAAGATGAAGGAGATGCGAAGGTGTTAAAGTTCCGCGTTACGTGCAATAGAGCCGGAGACAAGCACAGCTTTACGTCAAACGAGGCCGCAAGAGACTTCGGAGGAGCTGTGCAGGAGCACTTCCAGTGGAAGGCTGACATGACTAACTTTGATGTAGAGGTATTGCCTTGTGCCTTGCAGTAATTCCATTTCAAAAATTGATTCTTAGTTTTGATTCTCAGAGAGCTCCAAAATAACCTTTACAAGGTTGTCCTGAAGCTGGAAGTCATTAATGCTGAAATCCCTCAGAAGCATTGATTTCATGGCCATGTTAGGTATATCCTCACACCCCACTGCTTGCTGGTCCCTCATCTCTTTTGTGACCCCCTGAGGGCACCTCTCATTTTCATGCTCCGTTTGCTCTGCACGCACTCAAGATAAGCCATTAACATCACTAAGCTCAGGGCGGCTGAGTCAGTGCTCAAAAGTTATCTCCTCTCTGAGCTACACCGGATGGTTTTATACTGAGTTTTACCTCCTCTTACATTATTTGCTCACATGGTTACAGGGAACAAAAAGGGTCATGTTAGTTGTCCGCTGCTTTTTCCCTTTTCATGGGGAAAGCAGAAATTTGGAAAGGAGGTCCAGCAGATATGGTCCATTAAAATTTTCATTTTGAGAGGCAATAAGGTGAAATGATTTTCTTGCAGATTCTTTTCAGGGCTGACCCCCTTTCTTGTAATGGTGTCTTCACCTTCCAGATTCACACTGCGTAGGGGACCAGGCGTGGGGTTTCTATTGCGAATTCTTTTTGCTTTGTGAATGCTGCACTGTGACTTGCAGGACTTATCCTTACTTCTCCCCAGTAAATATAAAGCAAAACTCTTGAAACATCATCACAGAGTGCTTTTTGTGCAAGTGAAAAAAAACCCCACGCTGTCCTGACTGTGTCTTCATTAAAGGCAATGGATAGTGCTCTTATAAATGTATTTCCTGACTTTGTGTAATTCACAGCTGCTGGTTTAAACATTTACCAGATGTACTGTGGGAAACTTGTGTTACTTCTGAAATTCAGTTCCAGTTTTTCTTTAGGTTCTCCTGAATATTCACAATAATGAAGTAGTTGTGGGCATTGCGTTAACTGAGGAGAGTCTTCACAGAAGAAATATTACACATTTTGGACCCACAACTCTTCGCTCAACTCTTGCTTATGGCATGCTTAGGTCAGTGCAAACGCATGGTTTTATATGATTCTTAGATAATAAGTCACTCTGCTTCACAAATGAGTTGCCTTATCCCCTCCGCTGCTTCCTTAGAAGCCATTTTGGTCGGTTCTTGTTAAAGGGGAATAAAGACACAGCAACACTGGATGTTTTCCAGCTTAGAAAATACTTGCTGCAAGCCATTAGCCAGTTTTCAAAATACTAGATGACAACATTCTTGAAAGAATTTCACTGGACTGGCATGTATAAGTGCTGGTTGTGAAATGCAATTAATGTTCATGTCTTGTATTAGAGGGGCTCAGTTGCTGTGATCGAAACAGTTCCGTTTTCCATCGGTACAAGAAATTCACGTGCTTTTTTCTCAAAGTCCCTTTTTTTCCTGCTCCTCAGGCTCTGCGATCCCCAGCCGACGGATATCATCATTGATCCAATGTGTGGTACAGGAGCAATACCCATAGAGGTGATCCTTCCTTTCTTTTTAACGTAGTAAAACTCAAGACAGTATCTGCAACTGTGTAACACGTAAGTTTTAATGGCAGTAACAGCCAACAACAGAAGCATCTCGCCAACTTCTCAACAGCTCCAAGCACGCTTTTACTAAGTGCCTTTAGTTTCCTTTCCAATAACAAGAAGAAGCAAAACCTAAAAGAACTTTGAGCCGTTAAGTTGCCTAAGGCCTGTGACACATCCGTCACGGAGTTTTAAAATCACTGACATCTGCTTCAGATTGCTTTGTCGCATTCTGGTGGGGTTTTTTTTGGGGGGGTTTGTTTCAAAAAGCAAGCAGTGTTCATGTTAATATTATCAGTATTTCCCCCCAGGGAGCTATGGAATGGCCTGGTTGCTATCACATTGCTGGTGACAACAACCCGCAAGCTGTAAAGAGAGCAGCAAGCAACATCTGCTCTTTGCTAAAGAAAAATGAAAATAAGGAAAGGTAAGAGCGGTACGAGTGATTTTATTTTCCCATAGGCTTTATAGGAATAAATCTGTCTTGCACAGATTTTCTTGACCTTTTCCCTACTGTGTTACTGTTACAGTTCTTCACTGTAAAAATATTTTCAGTAGCCCATATCTGAGGTCTTTGCTTTTGTAGCAGTGCTTCCTTGGCTGCACCCTTGGACATCGTTCAGTGGGATATCTGCAATCTCCCTTTGCGGACTGGCTGTGTGGATGTCATTGTGACAGACATGCCTTTTGGGAAGAGGTGAGGGACCACGAATGCCAAGTTCTTGTGTGTGACCGTCACTGCCACGTGTGCTCGTGTGTCCAGATTTAGGGTTCTCCTGTAACTTAACTGGGCCTAATTGAGAAGTATGTAAATACTTTGCATTCAGAATGAAGGCTGAAGGTTTATGTGGTCATACATACATTTTTCAACAGTCACAAAGGAGATCTTGATCTGTGTTATAGGATAGGGTCAAAGAAGAAGAACTGGGATCTCTATCCAGCCTGCCTCATGGAGATGGGGCGGATCTGCACACCAGGCACAGGTAGAGCTGTGCTGCTCACTCAGGACAAGAAATGCTTCGCCAAGGTATGTTCTGAGTGAAACCTTAGAAGTAAAACAAACCTATTTGCAGAGGAAAAATCTACTGAGGAAAAAAACTTTAAGCTGACTTCACTATGGAGGGTGATGTTTTTCTGAAGAGATAAATAGCAGCATTTTAATGTGGTTTTAGACCTTATTCAGGTGGGATTTGGGATAGTCAGGAATAACATCTAAAGCAAATTTATCCTTACATCCTTGTCCTGAAGAAGCCACCACCACTCTTGGGGCTGTTCTTTGTGTTTTTTTTCTATCGTAGGCCTTGTCAAGACTGGGACACATCTGGCGCAAAAATCACACGGTGTGGGTGAATGTAGGGGGGCTTCATGCTGCAGTGTATCTTCTGAAACGCACCTGGGAAAGAGTGGAAGAAAAAAGGTCATTCTGGTAATAGCCTGTGTGGAAGAAGACAGCAGACACCTCCAGAACTTCCAGATGAGCAGATTGGTGAAGGAGACAGCTGAGAGTGTGTCTCTGTTCCTAAGCAGAAGGCAATAAATGTGAGAACTACTTAATGTGAGCAATGGACCAGGGACCAACCTGAGAGCTCCCCGTTGTACTGTGTTCTGAATGTGACTTAAATTCTCTCTTTTCACCCTGCCACCCAAACTGAAAGTTGGTAGTGGTTTAGTAATGCTCTCCTTTGCCTGAGTCTTTTCTACTACGTCTGTTGTATTTCTCAGTTAAATGCTTGTTTCCTCTGCTTATAGTAGAAAACACGTTGAAGCATTTTTGGAGCCAATTAGCTGCTAATTTTTCCCCTGAACTGTAGAAATCATATCTTAAAATGCCAGTCTTAGTGTTAGTCATTTTAAAGGGTTTAGAGGCAGTACCTCTTTGCTGTAGGACTTTTCCAAACTGAAAGTTTGAAGTTTGTACTATTGCCCAAATGTAAATTGAGATGTTTGATACTTGGGTGAGAAAACGCCGAGCAGTGTGCTGGTGCTGCAGTTTGATGTTTTAAGTGGTACCTCGACTCAGTGCTCAGAGAGCTGTGCTGCCTCACCGCTGTGTTGGGGTCCTGCTGTGGGTGAGGGCGGTGCCCCGTGCTGCCTTAACACTGCAGTTGTGGTTTCTGTTCGAGAGCAGAGACGCTTCCAGCAGCTTTACCTACAAGTTTGTGTTTCGGTGTCTGTGTCGGCACTGAGGGAGGCGGTACGTTTGGATTTACGAGCTGACTGGAGCTGCTGTAGGAGTGCTGCCTACTTAAAGAATACAGTTCGTTCAATTAATGGAAGTTGAAAATCTCTTTTCTTCTCCACTATACCGCAATTTCTCAGACTGATGAAGAGCAGAAACACTAATTACCAGCTTGTCGTTTCATTACAGTGTATTCAAGCTCAAAGTAATGTGCTCAGAGGCGGATTAAGGAGCATTAAAGGTTTCTTAGTTCTGCAGAGGCACGAAGTCCGGGCAGCGTTCTGTTCTGCGCCCGCTGTGCGCTGCAGTTCGCGTTCTTTTCCCCTCAGATGAGGCCAACACCAGCCGTCCGCCCAGCCCCGCAGGCGACGCTCTGCTCTGCAAGCGGCGGTTCGCGCAGCTGCGGGGCGCGGCGTTACGTCGTTACGTTGCTGCGTCGCCGCGTCCCATCACCACGTCGCGTGTCGCGCTGCGCATGCGTGGCGCCCCGCCAGTCTCCGGTCGCTTCCGCGCAGGCGCGTTGCCGCCGCGGGGCCCCGCAGCCGGGATGGCGCCGCCGGCTCCCTCCGCGCCGTGCCTGCGCTCCGCCAACACGCGCGAGCTCTCCGAGGTCGTCTTCAACAACCGCAGCCCGCGCGCCGTGCTCCCCATCTGGGTGGACTTCGAGGGCCGGCCGCGCTACTACCCCGTGCTGCGGCCGCGCACCGGGCGGATCATGCACAGCTACCGCGGTGAGGAGCCGCGGGGCGGGCGGGGCGCGGCGACGGCCGCGATGCGCCGCGGGGCTGAGCGTCGCTCCCCGCAGGGCACCTGTGGCTGTTCCGCGACGCGGGCACGCACGACGGGCTGCTCGTCAACCGGCAGGAGCTGTTCGTGGCCGCGCCTGACATCAGCGAGGCCGACATCACGCTGCCAGGTGCGGGGCGCTGCGGGCTGGGGGGTAGCGCGGCGTGCGGGCTCGCGTTCGCCGCCGGAGAAAACGCGCGGCTCGCGCTGGTGGCCGCATCCAAAAGTGACGTTTTGTAGCTGGGAGGCGCTCCGCCCACCGGCGTTCCCGCGATCCTTCTGTCCGCCGTACTTAACGCGGAGATGGGAAGGACGCGGTACTTTCGGAGCGGCCTCGCGCGTTCTGAGTCACGCTGCCGGGTTCGTTTGCCCTCCCGTCCCGGGCGGCACCCCTCGCAGTGCGGTGCCCGGCCGCCGCTGCCAGGCTGCCCGCTCGCTCTGTTTCCCTGCAGTGTTCACGCTGAAGGAGCGCTGCCTGCAGGTGGTGCGCAGCCTGGTCCGGCCGGGGGATTACCGCAAGCTGGACATCGTGCGCTCGCTGTACGAGGAGCTGGAGGATCGCCCCGACGTCAAGAAGGACCTGCAGCGGCTCTCCGTGGAGAGAAGCGAGATGTTACCAGAGGAAGGCCTCCACTAAAAGGGCTGTGCGTCCTGAGCCGTGTAGATAGCAAAACACCGAGCTTAGGAGGAGCAGCCACTGTAAAGTGTGCCCAGAGCTAACGTCTGCACTGAAGTTCTGGAACAAACTCAGCCGTACCATAGAACATTTACTGTGCTGGTAGGTCAGATTCCAGAGAGCAGACAGTGTGGGAATGTTCTCCTTTGTGAGGGCTCTGCTCCGGGTTTCGTGCATTGCTGAGCAGGGACCCCAGTGGCCTGGCACAGATGGGGCTCAGAGGAGTTTGCTTCGGACTATTTCAGGACATTCCATAGTAACACGAGATCGGGGTATCTGTCTGGAGGAAGTGCGTGCAGCTCAACTTCCTCTGTGTTAGAAAGAAAGTTATGCCATTAACTTAATCCAGACTCTAAAATCAGTGGCAAAGCAGCACCAGGTTTGCTTGAATGATTTGGTTTCGGTGGGAATTTGCTCTCTCACATGCTGAATTTACTTTCAAATCACAAATTGTAGGGGGTGTTCATGTGAGAGCTTCCACAGTTGCCGTCTGAGCGCTGGACCCAAAACTTCTGAAAGATGACCTAAGCATTTCTGTGTTAGCCTCTGTCTCTGTCTGTTCATAAAACCTCATTGTAGCAACTCTGAAGCTAACGAGTTTTTACACAGAACATGCCTTGAATGCCTTAATTTGTCCTTCTTTACCGAATTACTGCTTCGTTTATCTCTAGATGATGGAACTTTGTCAGCCATACAGACTGCATCTTAGTTTTGGGAGCCCTTTCTGCTCTGTGTCGCTGTGCCCACATCCTTAGCTCCCATGCTGGTATACCAGGAGCATTCCCACAAGGTGGGTGCTCTGAGCCCCACCTTTCCCTTGTCCCAGGGGTTGGCCTTGAGGAGCACGGTCCATCTGGGCTGCTGGTGCCCCCTGAAGCACAGAAGCTGCCCCAGCTGCAGGCCTAACTCCCCAAAGCAGAGCTGTGCTTTTCAGCAGGCCAGCTGCACAGAGAAAGGATCTTGGCCTGTATGTTCTCTTCCCCATACCTCAAATACACAGCTGTGTGTCTGTATGTCTCTGCGTAACTCAAAGCAGCATTGTTTTTAGCAGATAGGTGAATTGTTCCCCAGGCAGGCGCAGTGCTGCTCAGCGTGCAGAGCAGCAGGTTGCTAACAGATAGCAGCAGGCTGTTCTGTGGCCTGAGGTTCTTAAGTATGCAATGGCTGCCCTTCTTGTGGACTTGTTTTTTCTTAAATGTTTGTGTATGAACTGATCTTTCTCATTAAAACATAAATCCATGTTAACTCCTTGACTCTTATGCTGTCAGGTAACTATGCAGTGGTTGCAATGGCACATTTGCTCATGTTCCTGAAATGCCACTCGTGGATGCCGTGAGATTGAGCTCAGTTGGATTCACTGCACTGCTCCTGTGAGAGCTGCGGGGAGCAGTAACTGGAGGCAGTCAGGAGCAGAACCCCATTTAGTGCTGCTGCGGGGCAATGAGTGGAGCTGGGACATGGGCGCAGGCACACAGCCCCTGTCTGCTACTGTTACTTGAAGGCGAAGGCTGTGTAGAATTGTTTGTGTCTCAGTTTGAAAAAGTGGTTTTCAGTTCCCATGTGAAACTTCTAACTACATACAGCAGTCAGAGCCAAAGCAAAGTCACAAACACGGACAGGTGCCGTTCTAAACAACGATGCATGCGTCACGGACCTTCATTCACCCTTGTGGTGAACAGTTCTGCGCTGTTCCCGGTGCGGGGAGCAGCCCGGCTGCCTCGGGGCAGGGCCGGCTGTGCGGACAGCCGTGGCTGGCGGTACAGCTCTCGCTACGGCCCAAACGGCGGCACACAGAGCGTCCTTACGATGCGGTACTTTAAGTAACGGCACGCCGTGGGTTTGTTTACTTGACGTTTCGGCCGCGGTTTCAGCGGTTCCCCGGCGCGGGGCGGGAAGCGGACGCGTTCGTGGCACCGCGAGGTTCGCGATTCCCGAGGCGCGGCGCACGGAGCCGCCCGGCGGAGCGGAGCGTCGCTCCCGCGGCTGGGATTCGCCGCCCCGCCCCGCGCAGCCCCAGGAAGCCGCGCCCCCGCGGCAGGAGGAAGCGCGGGGTGCCCCGCCCGGCGGCGCTCCGTGGGGCCACGCGCGGCAGCTGATGGCCGCGGGCAGACCGGGGCGCCGCGAGGAGATGGCGCCGCCGTCGCCCTACGTGCACAGCATGCCGGCCTGGGTGCTGGAGGACTTCTGCCAGAAGATGGACTGCCTCAGCGACGGCGACTGGATGCGCTTCGGTGAGCGCGGCTCCCCGGCTCCCCCCGCCGCTCTCGGGCCCCGCGCCGCCCTTCTCCCTCACCACCCCGTTCCGCTTCTCCCGGCCTCCGCCGCGTCCGCTCCGCGTCCCCCGCAGAGCCGCCCGGTGCCCGCCGGTAATGACACGATCCCCCCCGCTGCCGATCCCCGCCGCGCGGCCCTTCCCGTCCAGCCGCTGCCGTCCGCTGCCACGACGGGAAGGTAACCGGAGCCGAGCGGCGCGCGGCGTGCAGGTGAGGGCGGTCGGGGGACGGTGACGGCGCGCTGAGCAGGCTGAGAGCGGTTTCTTTTTGGGTCTCCGCATAACAAACTTTTTTTTTGAACGTTTGAAAGAATAGAAATAATACCCTGCTTCCAGGAACTGGAATTTCTTCACGTCCACGTAGTTAACGTGTGGCGGTCCCTGCTTTTAAAGCCGAATGAAAGCTTTCTGTGTACGCAGCGCACCGTGCCTGCCCTGCCTGCCCTCGCTCTCTCCCCTTGCTAACAAAGCCGTCCGGTCTCCGCAGCCTCCTACGTGATCACTGACCAGACCGAGCTGCGGAAGATCAAGTGCATGGAGAAGACGGGGATCAGCATCACCCGCGAGCTGATGTGGTGGTGGGGTGTGAGGCTGGCGACCGTGCGGCAGCTGCTGGACCTGCTGCAGGCACTGCAGCTCTACCGGGCGGCTCAGGTCATCCTGGACTGTAAGTAGCTCCTGTGAGCAGCCCGGCTCTGTGCCTGTCCCCGTCTTCATTGTGCAGGCTGAAGGAACTCTTTGCTGGGAACCTTGTGCTCCAATTGTGAAGTCTCTGCTGATTCTTATTTTCTGCTCATGGTGGGAAGGGGAGAGCTGACCTAGACGAGGGGCTGCCGGTCTGGTCTGTCAGCACAGCTCGTAGTGTCTCTTAGGCGCTTCAGGAGCTGCCAGAGTGAGGCTGCGCTGTGCATGAAGGATGGCTCTGTAACACATTCTTGCTTTCCCACAGAGCTGAGTTGTGAATGTGTGAATTTTTCTTACGTCCTCATTCCCCACTGAAATTCTGCCGTTATACATTAAATGCCAACAAACTCGTGGCAGAGAGACCTATCAGCAGTGAGGTTTGTGCATTCTGCTTTCCTGCACAGTGAGAACGTTCCCCAAAGGAGTGCTTTGCCCACTTCACTGTTCTTGCCTTTGTCCCATTTGCTGTATTTTAGTTACTTTTCTGAGTTGGATGATGATACTTTGAAAATGCTGTATCTAATTAAGGCAAACCATTGCCCTGTAGAAGCTACAGCACTTTTAAATATAACTTGCAGTTTTTCTCTGTTGAAATCAATGTTTAAATGGCAGCCATCCATTTTCATGAGCCAGTGGGTACCTTAGCTCAGCTCTGTTGTGGGACCTGTGGAACCCTGGACGAGACGCTCATCCTTCCTGCCCTGGGCTGCCCTGGCAAGCTGACAGCAGCCTGTACTCTCCTCTTCACATATTACCATCCAAAATCCAACTTTCTTGGGAAGGAAGTGTTTGTGTGACTTTTGACGTTCTCCATAGGCAGCTGTGAGAAAGAAAAGTTAGAGGTTTATGTGGGCCAAACTGAGCAGAGAAGTACGATGCAGGTGGACAAGGGTATGGGCAAAGCTGACAGCAGTGCGTGCCGACAGGAGATGGAGGTGTGCGGGGCACTGCCTGCACGCAGCCGGGGAGGAGGCTGAGTTCTGCTGTGAGCTGCCTGTGGGCAGGGCTGGCAGCACACACAGCTGGCACTCAGCGACAGGCGTTGCTCATGGAAATTCCCACTGTGTCACAGTTTGCTTGCTGCTGCAGTTCTTTATATAGCACAGCTGGGTTTTTTGTGGGTTCCTGGTGTTAGTGGGAGTTAGAAACTTCATTTTAGGATGGCAAAAAAAAGATCTTTAAGGTGGGTGTTCTGAATTTCTGTTGATTAAAAAGAGATATTAAGCACAAGTGTGCTTTAAGCAAATTCCATCTCTGTAAATGAAATGCCATTGCCACCCACCCTAGCAGCAGTGCTGCTCCACAGAGCCGGGCTGTGACAGCCCTTCGTTCAGCAGAACTGCACTGGCTGAACTCAGTCACCCCACTCAGGAGATGGTAACAATGGTAACAGAGCTACAGGAAAGTGAATTTTCATCTGCCCTAACGAGTATGGTAGTAAACCAGTTGTGAAATGTGGCTGTGAGGGTCCAGCCTCAGTAGATGGGATTGAAAACAACGTGAAGAAACTGGATCTGGAGCTCTCCAACGCAATAAGCCTGGCTCCTCGATAATGCTGTTTTTACAGATGCTTTGGAGTAGCTGGTGGCCTCCACGCTGTGGTAACTGTTCTCTTCCATGCTCACTGTGTATCTCACACTGTCCACGGGGATTTCTGGGTGCTGCTGTGTACGTGCTGCAGCCGGCTGCTCCTTCAGCTATCGCTGTTCTGCCCGGCCGCAGTGCTCTCAGGCCCGCCTTTGTTTGCAGCCGGCTCACTTTGAGTGTTCCTTAATTCTGTGTGTTCACTGATTTGCTGTAATCCCACCCTGTATGCTGTGTCTTAATCAGAAAAAATCTGCACTCACCTTCTGAGAAACAACACCCCTTTGTTTCTGGTTTCCTTTGTGACGGGAGGATCTGTGAAATGAGAGCATTCTGTGCAGGGTGGTGCAAGGAGCTGGAAGTGGGTTTGGTTTTCAGTTCTATTGGGCACTTCAAAAAGCCACTGTTCCAACTCCTGACAGTTACTGTGTTACCGTAACACTGTACAGCCTGACTTGCAAGACAGGACCCCCAGGTGAATGTTTTGCTGGCAGATTACTTGCAGGAGAGTTGTTTCTCCTGTTTCTGCCTTTGAGAATTTCTTGCGCAGCTCTAGTCCCACTTCTGGATATCTGTTGGAACAAACTTTTTCCTGTGTTATTTCTTTAGTTTCAGCGGTGACCTGTTTGAGTGATGTGCAGGAAATTGCAAAATTCATGAAAAACCATGAAAAATAGGTTGAAAGAGGGAAGTGATCCAAATTGTAGAGGCTTCTAGGTCAAAGTACCGGCAGGGGAAGGTCAGCAATTGCAGAACGCAGGGACTGCCGGTTGGAACAGAAGGCCTGCAGGGTGCTTGAACTCCGTGATTACCAAAACCTGTGGTGTTTGTGATCTCACAGCTTAAAGCTGGTGCTTTAACAAAGAAACAGAGCTGATTTTCCGTTCAAACCTGCATTCGTATTGGATGCTGAAGAACAATTACACAAACTCCAGAAGGAAGTCAAAGGAAAAAGCTTGCCCTTCACAGACGTGCTCCCATCTCCGGTCCGAGCTGCACTGACTGGAATTGTCATACCTTGCCTTCTAAGCTTCACTTCTACTGGAAGTGGTTTACAAGGAGCATAGATGAAATTAAAACTCCAGCTTCCTTCTGGCTTCAGACATCCCCAGTGCTTTGTTTGTGCACAAAGAACACAAGCTATTGTCTGATTGCAAAAGCAGAGTGCTGTGGCTTTTACTTAAGATGACAAGCTGATAAAACAGTACAACAAAAGGCTTATATTGGTACTTGTGCTTATTTTCTTTCATATCAAAAGATTAATTGATATTTTTATAATGTTAAATGTAAATGTTAATGTTAAATGTAAATGTTAAAATATATTGCTGATAAAAGATACTGGACAGAAACAAGAGTACAGAATTATAACCAGGAAAAAGTGGTTAATAGGCACTAGAAAGTTCTTGTGTCATCTCTGGTGCACACTCAGCATTTCCAGGCTCCTTCTCCCCATCATTTACCTCTCTCACAGACCAGAATTCAGCTGCTTTGTCAGGAGGTTTTGACAGCTCTGTGTAGCAGAGTGTCTTCATATCTTTTTCTTTCCAGTTTGTTCCTGTCCCAGTAGCCTAATCTGATTTTAATATTTCCTTGTAAGATGTATGTGCTCTTCAAGTCTGAATTTAAATACCAGCGCTACTGAAACAATTCAACAGTAACTGTAAAGCATTCCTAATGTTTGTTCTAATGGATAGTCCATTTTCCC